AACACCAAGATTTTTAACATTAGAGCTGGAGGACAGATTAATGCCATCTAAGGAGGGAGAAAGACTGAAAAATTAATTCCTAAGATGCTCAGGTTCAAAAATCAAAACCTCAGTCTTGTCTGTTCAACAGGAGAAAATTAAGGGCCATCCAGGTTTTTATGTCTTTAAGACATGCTTGTAGTCTAAGTAGCTGATTGGATTCATTGGTTTTAATTAGGGCTGCAACAACGAATCGATAAAATCGATAAAAATCGATGATTAAAAGCGTTGGCAACGAATTTCGTTATCGATTCGTTGTGTCGCGCGATTATGCATCTTTCACGGCGCTGCGGAGCCGTTTCGTTTTGTTCACGGGCAGTTCATTGTCAATGCTGACTGACTGAATAAAGTTTGAAAAAAAAACTGCAGCGCGAGTTGAACAGAGCGGGGGGGGGAGGAGGAAGCAGAGCAGAGGCTGTTTTCAAAGGAAATTAAGTAAATTTTACAAATGAGCAACGCAGCGAAAACTGTTCAACCCAAGTCCTCCAAAGTGTGGGAGAACTTCACAAAGATAAAAAGTGAGAAACATGCAGCTTTGAAAATCGCCGACACGACACGAGAGAACCACGGAGATAAAACGTAAACATGTCGGAGTCACGAGGAGGAGGAAGGAGCTGCAGCTGATACAACTCGTGTTGCAGGTGAGTCTCTACAATTTAACACTTTGTTGTTTCAAGAGAGAAAACGTAACGTCAGTCTGTCTGGAGCTGAAGCTGCTGCTTGTTTGTTTGTTTATCTGATTAATGACGGTGATAGAGAACGTGTGCGTTACTTTTTATTTAATTTAATTGGTACAAGCAGTGTTTAAATGTGATTTATAAATAAATCTAACACAAAGATAATAATTTAATGATTAAGCTTCAACTTTTAATTTGTTGGCAAAGTCTGAACACACTGCAGGTATGGCAGGATGAATTGCATTTAAACAGGAATTAAAGTAATTTATTACATCTACTCAAATGTGTGTAATTAAGTATTTTATATATGTCTGTGTGTGTGTGTGTGTGTTTAATTGCTCTTTTAGCTACTTTTGCCTGAACCTAACACTGTAAGTGAAACAAGGCATTTCTTGAGTTGCTGTAAATTATGATATAAAACATATTTACTGTCTCATTCCAGAAAACAACAACAAACAACAACAGCCTTCATGATGGACAGACATCATGGACACCACACTGACATGAGGCCTCTGTCGATGGTTGAAGACGAAAGCTTCACTACAATGATCCACACTTTTAATCCAGGTTACAATAATCCACACTTTTAATCCAGGTTACAATAATCCACACTTTTAATCCAGGTTACAATAATCCACACTTTTAATCCAGGTTACACTCTTCCCTCAAGGACACATTTTACAAAGTAGCTACATATTGTGCAGGTATAAAGATACATTTGTATATATTTTTGTGTACATTTATTTTTTTAAGCTATTTGACTAACTTTTATTTTTTTATTATTCAATATTTTACTAACACAATAGTCAAATAGCAACCTGTTTTTAGTGTGAATTGCTATGTCAGTCAAATGTTCAATTTTGGAATAAAGGGGTGGAAATTAAAACTTTTTTTTTTTTTGCCGATTCATCGATTAATCGAAAAAATAATCGTCCGATGAATCGATTATTGAAATAATCGTTAGTTGCAGCTCTAGTTTTAATGGACAAATATAATTGTGTGTCATCAGCATAACAATGAAAATTTATCCTATGCTGTTTAATAACTTTACCTAATGGAAGCATATATAAAGTAAAGAGTATTGGCCCAAGCACTGAGCCCTGAGGAACTCCATGACTAACTTTGGTGTATGAAGAAGATTTATAATTTACATTTACAAACTGGAGTTTATCAGATAGATATGATTTAAACCATTTTAGAGCTGTTCCTGTAATCCCAACATCATATTCAAGCCTCTGTAGTAAAATATTGTGATGAACTGTATCAAATGCAGCACTGAGGTCTAACAGGACCAGTAGAGACACAAGTCCATTGTCTGAGGCCATGAGAATATCATTAGTGACTTTTACTAGTGCTGTTTCTGTGCTATGATGAGCTCTAAACCCTGACTGAAACTCTTCAAACAGATTATTTCTTTGTAGATGTTCACACAACTGACCTGCAACTATTTTCTCTAGAATTTTTTAGATGAAAGATAGATTAGATATAGATCTATAGTTGGTCAGAATTTCTGAATCAAGGTCAGACTTCTTAAGTAAAGGTTTAATTACAGCAACCTTAAAGTGCTGTGGTACATAACCATTCATTAAAGACAAATTAAGTAGATCCAAAATGTGGACATTAATTAGTGGAAATACCTCTTTAAACAGTCTGGTTGGGATGGGATCTAGCAGGCATGTGGATGGTTTGGATGAGGTTATTATTTTTGACAATTCAGAGCTCAACAGGACAAAAACTGTCCAAACATAAATTAGGCTCTAGTGAAATTTTTAAAGTTGCCTCATTTGAAGGGGACTAGAGATAGTAGAAGGAAGGATGGTTTGAATTTTCTCTCTAATTGAAATAATTTTATTTATAAAGAATCTCATGAAGTCATCACTACTTATAGTTGTAGGGATACAAGGTTCAACAGAAATGGGACTTTTAATTAGTCTAGCAATAGTACTAAACAGAAACCTAGGGTTATTTTTATTCTCCTCTATTAAAGATGAGTAATATAAAGTTCTAGCTTTACGGAGAGCTTTTTTATATGTTAGCAGACTATCTTTCCAAGTTAAATAAAATTCTTCAACATTAGTAGAGCGCCATTTTCTCTCCTGGTTTCTAGATGCTGCTTTAAAGTACGTAACTCAGAATTGAACCAAGGAGCCAGTTTCCTCTGATTGATTACTTTCTTTTTCAGTGGAGCAGTTTTATCAAGTGAAGTTTGCATTGAAGTTGTAAGATGATCAACTAGATGATCTAAGTCTCTGTTCTCTGATGCATTACTCTGCAAGACAGAGGAAAACATTGATGGAAGAGATTGTTTCAATTTGGTTACAGCATTTTCTGATAAGCTCCTGCTGAGATGAAATTTACTCTCAGTGACTGTGTAGTCATTTAATGTAAACTCAAAGTTATTAAAAAATGGTCGGACAGAATGGGATTTTGAGGAACTATTACCAAGTCCTTAATCTCTACACCATAGGTCAGAACTAAATCAAGAGTGTGATGATAAGAATGAGTACATGTGCGGACGTTTTGGGTAAAACCAAATGAGTCTATTAAATTATTAAAGGCTATGCTTAAACTATCACTCTCAACATCCACATGAATATTGAAATCACCAATCATTCTGACATCAGAATAGTAAAAAATACCATAATTGCAATTTTACTGTAGAAATGTTTAAACCTCAAAATACATTAAAGACTGGTTCATCCCAAAGATCCAGTCCCCCGGCACAAACAGAGTAATGTTGTGTATGTTGTTCAGTGTCAGGAGGGTGATCAGTCTTACATCAGGGAAACTAAACAGCCACTGGCCAAAAGGATGGACCAGCACAGAAGATCAACATCATCAGGCCAGGACTCTGTGGTCTACACTCATCTCCAGGCCAGCGGTCACTCTTTCAGGGATGAAGATGTTCACATCCTGGACAGAGAGGAACGATGGTTTGAGAGAGGAGTAAAGGAGGCCATCTTTGTGAAAAGAAATCGTCCATCATTAAACAGGGGTGGAGCCTCCAGGTTCAACTGTCCCCCTCTTACAATGCTGTGATTGCTAGTATCACTCAGCCTCCTGTGAACAGTAAACAGCCATCAGTGTGCTAATGATCCATTGTTAGGCTGATGGTCCTTCTTGAACATGTGATCAGCTAGTTTTGGTTGTCAGCAGCAAACTGGTTGATTCACTCTGAGAAGGTGCTATTTAAGAGACTGAGCTGAATACAGCACCTCAGACTGAGGAAGTCTCTTGGATGAAATGTGCGCTCTCAGGACATTATTACCTGCAGTGTTCCCTCAGTGAGGACTGAACTAGGCAAAAGGGCCTTCTCCTATTCCGCTCCTGTTTCCTGGAATATCTTACAAAAAGATTTGAAGCTCTCGACCTTGACCTCTCTAAGTGTCTTTAAGAATCTGTTGGACACCTGGCAGGGTCCAATGCTGACATGTTCCTGTTTTTAGTTTTCTACATTTGTCTTGGAATCTAGCTGTTTTTTTTTTTTTTTGTTACCTTTTTCTTTTAGCCATTATATTTTTTGGAAAAGGTAACAAAAAACAAAAAAAACTGTAGTATGCTTTTTTATTGTTGTTGCTGTTGTCCATTGTTGTCATCGTTCTTTGTTAAATCAGGTCTCTCTTGTAAATGAGTCCTCGAGGCTCAATGGGATTTACCTGTAGAAATAAAGGTTGATTGATTGAAGGAAGAAACTGTACTACTTTTTATTTGTTTTGTTTTTTGAATGTCCAGAGGACCAGATTTAACTTTTTTAGAGTTTTGGATTACGTTGCCATTTTTGTGTTGCTGAGGTCATGGATCTGAGGACACCATCTTGAATGGGGTTGACTCAAAAAGTTAATGACTGGGTGTTTCATAAAATCCATCCAGCTGTTCATGAGATATTTTGCTAACAGACGGTGATGACTCCAAATGTTAATAAATAAAAAAAAACATTATTTATGAAGAATGTGTTGCAGATGAAGCTCAGTCACTACCACACCGAACTAAGTGACTGTAGTGGACTTTTAGACATTTTGTGTTTCCTAATGTCAGTTTGCTGTGGCGGCCATCTTAAATGGGGTAGACTAGAAATATTTTTCAGTTGTTTAACCAGTGATTACTTTAACTTATCAATAACCTATCACAGTTTGTCATGGGTTTGAGCTTTACTCCTGTGTGTAAGAAGTGACAGAAGATTTTGTGGCAATGCTGCACCTTTCCCACTTTGTGGTTCGGTAAAGTGCGCAACAGACCGATTGTGTTTCAAGTGAACCATTACCAGAGCTGTCCTCCTGTTTGCAGGTAGATGACATTCATGCTGCCGTGGCCGACCTGAAAGCAAAGAACATCAGAATTCTGTCAGAAGAACCACGGATTGGCGCTCACGGGAAGCCGGTCGTGTTTCTTCACCCTAAAGACTGTGACGGTGTGCTGGTGGAGCTGGAAGAAGCCTGAGCAGACCACGGAAGCTGTTTATGAACGCCTTTAGACTCCACAGACACTTTGATAATCACAGTCATTACCTTCTCACTTCAGGAACCTGCTCATAACTTCCCTGTTTTGGTCTGAATTAATTACAGTCCACCGTGTGTTGTGACTGTTTCATAAAGGGGGATGCTAATCATTGTTTGGTGATTCTTCGGTGGAATAAGTTTGTCTCATCGCTGTCCAACCAAAACCAGTTCAGGATGATGATTTCATACAGCAGCATTTTAATTAACATACCAATATTAAAATAGTTAATTATTACAGTTACTTTGCATCTCATAACACTTGTTCATTATAACTCGGCTAAAACTGATCTAAACTTCTCAAGCTGATACACTTTGTTTTACCGGCAGCTGTGTCATATATTTTTTTATATTTGTAGTATATTTTATCTGCGTAGTATCGTCTTGTCTCTAAGTTTGAGACGGGTTCTCTACCACAAACAGGTGGATTACTTTTTCAGGGTTCTGGGGAGTCTTTGCTTCAGGTGAGGAGTTTAAGTATCTGGGTGTTCACAAGTGATGGCAGGCTCATTGGGAGATGGATCGATTGATCGGGTCCTCGTCCTCAGTAATAAGGACGTTGCTTCGGTCAGTCGTGGTGACGAAAGAGTTGAGTTGAAAGGCAAAGCTCTCGATTTACTGGTCCGTCTTTGTTCCAACCTTCACCTGTGGTCATGAGGTTTGGATCATGAGTGGACAAACAAGATTCTGCATACAGTGGGGAGAACAAGTATTTGATAGACTATTGATTTTTCAGGTTTTCCCACTTGCAAAGCTTGTAGATGACTGTAATTTTTATCATAGGTACTCTTCAACTGTGAGTGATGGAATCTAAAACAAAAATCCAGAAAAATACAATGTATGATTTTTAAATAATTAATTTCCATTTTATTGTGTGAAATAAGTATTTGATACACCAGAAAAATGAAACTTAATATTTGGTACAGAAACCTTTGTTTGCAATTACAGAGATCAGACGTTTCCTGTAGTTCTTGACCAGGTTTGCACACACTGCAGCAGGGATTTTGGCCCACTCCTCCATACAGATCTCCTCCAGGGCCTTCAGGTTTCGGGGCTGTCGCTGGGCCACACGGACTTTAAGCTCCCTCCAAAGATTTTCTATGGGATTCAGGTCTGGAGACTGGCTAGGCCACTCCAGGACCTTAAGATGTTTCCTACGGAGCCACTCTTTAGTTGCCCTGGCTGTGTGTTTTGGGTCGTTATCATGCTGGAAGACCCAGCCACGACCCATCTTCAGTGCTCTTACTGAGGGACGGAGGTTGTTGGCCAAAATCTCACGATACATGGCCCCATCCATCCTTCCCACAATATGGTGCAGTCGTCCTGTCCCCTTTGCAGAAAAGTATCCCCAAAGAATGATGTTTCCACCGCCATGCTTCACGGTTGGGATGGTGTTCTTGGGGTTGTACTCATCATTCTTGACAACAACTTGACGGAAGGAGAGGCAGAACAGCTCAGAATGGAAATATCAGCAACCATCTCCAGTGCCAAACCACCTCCTTCAAACCTCACACCACAGGAAAGGAAAGCTGTAACATCACTCAGCCAGGACCAAAACATCACCATTTTACCAGCTGATAAAGGAAGATGCACAGTAGTCCTCAACACTTCTGATTACCAGGAAAAAATAACTACACTACTGAGCGACAGCGACACCTACGAGACCCTGAAGAGGGACCCAACCAGTGCCTACAAAAAGAATGTCAGATTACCTGCAAAAACTTGAAAAGGAGAAAACAATCGATCTTTGTACTATAGATTGTACCCAGGGGAAGCCACTCCCTGTCTTTATGGACTCCCAAAAATACACAAAGAAGGAACACCACTCAGACCCATCGTCAGCAGCAAGAACTCAGTGACATACAATATTGCTAAACATCTGGCTGGTATTGTAGCTCCTCTTATTGGAAACACACCTCATCACATAAAGAACTCCATTGATTTTGCTAACAAAGTTCAACACTTGAAACTAACCCCAGGAGAAACCCTTGTATCGTATGATGTGACTTCTCTTTTCACATGCATACCCATCTCTGCAGCAGTAGAAACCGTCAGAAAACAACTTCTACAAGGACTTAATCAACAAGACCAACTTCACCCCAGACCAGATCTGCACCCTGTTGGACCTCTGCCTCTCCAACACTTATTTCAAGTTCAATGACAGTTTTTACAGACAGAAGCACGGCTGTGCCATGGGATCTCCAGTGTCACCCATTGTTGCCAATCTCTACATGGAGGAAGTGGAACAGAGAGCCCTACACTCCTTTGAGGGAACAAAGCCAAGCCATTGGTTCCATTATGTGGATGACACCTGGGTCAAAATCCAAGCCAAGGAAATAGAAGCGTTCACCAGACACATTAACTCTGTCGATAACAACATCAAGTTCACCAGAGAGGATGCAAACAACAACACGCTGCCTTTTTTGGACTGTTTGGTTCAGATGGAGAGAGAGGACAGCCTCAACATTGAAGTGTACAGGAAACCAACCCACACAGACCAGTATCTTCTGTTTGACTCCCACCATCCACTGGAACACAAACTCTCTGTCATCAGAACTTTACAACATCGGGCCGAATGCGTCCCCACAAGGACAGAAGGGAAGGAAAAGGAACTGAAACACGTTCAAGAAGCTCTTCAAACATGTGGATATCCTAACTGGGCTTTTGTCAAGTCAGTGAGGAAATCTACAAAACACACCAATAAACAGAAAAGGAGAACAACAGACGTAAAAACATTGTCATCCCTTATGTTGCTGGAGTATCAGAGAAATTCAGAAGGATCTTCAACAAACACAACATCCCAGTACATTTCAAACCCAGCAGGACTCTCAGACAGAAGCTGGTCCACCCTAAGGACAAGACACCCATACACAAACAGAGTGGTGTAGTGTATGTGGTCCAGTGCAGCGAGGACTGTCCAGACCTCTACATTGGAGAAACTAAACAGTCTCTTCACAGACGCATGACTCAACACAGGAGAGCCAGCTCCACAGGACAAGACTCAGCTGTTCACCTCCACCTCACAGATAAGGGACACTCTTTTGAGGACCAACATGTGCACATTTTGGATCGAGAACACAGATGGTTTGAGAGGGGGGCAGGGGCGGACTGGGACAATAATCCAGGCCGGGAATTTTTATACCATCCCAGGCCACCACCACCTGATTAACGCAAACCACCAAGACTGAGTTCAATTGAGCGCACTTTGAATGCATGTTGTTTGCACACGTCTAACTGAATACCTACATAAATCTTTCTTCTGTGGTGCAATAATCCGTCCTCAAATCACATAAACTGAAATTATGTTGCCCTATATTTTGCTATGCATAAGCCCTTTTAAAATCACTAGGAATATGACAGTCAATCATAGTTTCATACAACAAATGAGAGATCGTGTTGTACTACAGATGTGTTGTTTATTCTCCATCAAATCAAACACATTTTAAACATTAAACACATTTTTACTCACTTTTGTAAAAAAAAAAGATAAAAAACCTTATAAGAACCACCAAAGTTCATGCTCATGCTGGTTTGAGAGAGGAGTAAAGGAAGCCATCTTTGTGAAAAGAAACCATTGTTAGGGGTTGTTAGGCTGCAGGTCTTCCTTATGTTAACAGCTAGTTCTGGATGTTAACAACAAACAGGTTGATCCACTATGAGAAGAGGCTATTTGAAACTGAGCTTGTTGCAACTCCTCAGACTGAACTTAGTTTTTTGGATTAAAGACAAAAGTTTCAACAAGTTTTTTTTTTATTTGTCCAGAGGACCTGACTTAACTTTTTTAGATACAAAAAAATCTGAATTCCTAGACATTTCAACATTAAACTTTTTTCAGATCCTAACCCATATGATAAAATTTGCAATATTCTTTGTAAAAACTTAAAAACATTTGTTATATTAAGTCAGTTTGGCCCACTTAGGTCCCTCAAAGTGAAGCTAGCATGTGGATATTAAGCTGTGCTGATAAACTGTGCCAGAGTTCAATTTTTTCAACACAAGTGTTTCTCTTACCTGCTCCATTACGAACAAACATTAATTTATAGCACTTAGCAGCATCCGCGGCCAGAGCTTTTCTCTTTTTTATCCTCTCTCTCTCTGCTCCACCTTTCCTCTTCTTTGGCTGTCTCTGTTGCTCCATTCTACAACTCAGAGATGCACGCACCGCGCGCCAACACCGTCGGGAGCGCAAGTCCTAGGGCGGGGAGGGGGGCGGGCGCAATGTGTGTGTGTGTGTGTCTCTGCTCTGTGACACACAGAAAAGGAAGGGAGGGGGCCGGCCCGGCCGGGGGATGTGCCAGGCTTTCTCCGTCGCTGCAGTGCAGCGTGAGACCTGAGCCCAGGCAAAAGTGAATTGTTTATTTAAAATAATAAAGTCCGTGCGACCCGAACCGAGCCTTTAGTCCCGTTCCTCGGCAACCAGGCCACCGGGAAGTGTCCCGTCGTGCCCGACGGTGAATCCGCCACTGGAGGGGGGTGAAGGAGGCAATTTATGTAAAAAGAGAAAAGCCGTCTCTTAACAGAGGAGGAGGCCTCAGATTCCCACTTTCAAAAACATATAATGCAACTTTAAAACAGATCCCCAGCCAGTTTTCACACCTGATGGGAACAGAGGGGCCTCGTCTGTGAATTAGAGGAACAAAGACCTACTGTTTAGGTTTTAGGTGTGAACTGCCAATCTACATATATGTGTGTGTGTGTGTGTGTGTGTGTGTGTGTCTTATCTCACTCAGCCTTATAACCTGTATCCCTCACTCTCTGCTCTTTGAATTGAGAAAGCTCCTCGGATGAGGAGCGAAACGTCTTCTGTTACAAATAAAGTCCAGTTGTTTTTGTATTGAACGCTTTTTGTACTCATCATTCTTCTTCCTCCAAACATGTCGAGTGGAGTTTAAACCAAAAAGTTCTATTTTTGTCTCATCAGACCACATGACCACCTCCCATTCCTCCTCTGGATCATTCAGATGGTCATTTGCAAACTTCAGACGGGCTTTGACATGCGTTGGCTTGAGGAAGGGCACCTTGCGTGCACTGCAGGATTTTAATCCTTGACGGCGTAGAGTGTTACTGATTGTTTTCTTTGAGACTGTGGTCCCAGCT